CCCCAAAACCCCAAAACCCCAAAACCCCAAAACCCCAAAACCCCAAAGATAACAGTCTCAATTGAAAATGAATCAGAATATATCAGAAAGCATCAAAAATAATTAAACTCTTTTAGCATAAGAAGATGCTCTACTTAGTAATAGAGCTATTTTGTACATATCATCGCATGGCTTCTAAAATACTCTGACTCCTCCTTTATTATCAATATATAGTCTGATGCCTTCCAGCCCATACTTCTGCTTGGCCTTCTTCGCATCTGGGGGTTTAAATCCAATCAAAGTAAAGCTGATTTGCTCCAACGATTTTACTCAGGGACATTGCAGCACGTTCTCTAATATATTTTCAGCATACTCTTTCCCTCTGATTGTGATATCGTTGCGATAGCGATCGGAGGAAAATTCTAACCGTTTGAGATTGGACTGGCCTTTAAGTGTTGTTTTGATTGTTCCTTTGGAGATTTTTCAATTTTCAAATATAAATCTTGATATATAAGGGTTTTTGGAAATCAGCAAAGCAAACTGTTTGTATCCAAGAGCTATGTTGTTCAGCTTTATTATGTTCTTCACTTTGCATAATTGCTTCAGAAGATTTGGAAACATTGGAGAGATGCTCATAGTTCGACTATTTCAAGAATATTGATCATATTCAAGATTTAAAAATTGTAATTCAGTTGGAAATTTAGAGATAAATTTGTTCATATATTTGCTCTTGTACAAGTCTTTTTCAAATTTAAATTTAAACACACTCAAACTTTGAATACGCGTCCAAGGTACTTTGAAATGCTTTAGTACAACATCTCTTTCATGACGATTTTTATTTATTCAGTCCTCTAAAATAGATGTTCAGGCCATAACCGCCTTTGTTATGGCATATTGGCAAGATTTCAGAGAGAGCTTGGTTAACATTATCAATAATCTGCTTTTCTCTAGCTTTAATTTCTTGCTCTGTTAATGAGGAACTTCTCTGTGTAACTCCAGCATTATTGGTTTTTATTTCTTCATCCGTTTCCATTATGGATACTAAATATTCAATTGGTTCTGACTAAAAGGGGTTTTGGGGTTTTGGGGTTTTGGGG